GAGCATATATTAAGATTATGATTTCGTAAGTCTAAAAAGTACATTAATAATATTTGAATTAAAAAATAATTTTACAAAATTGAAGACTACGTAGTAGATAATGATGTTTGGAAACACTACATGGCTTTAGATTCAAAGAAATTTGACTCAAAGTGTATTCTGTAGCATTTAAGTTTATTTGAAAATAGATCCCTATAGAGTTTTGTACTTGTTCTTCTCAGGGAAGTCAGCATAGTGCATGAGCAGTAGCTTGAAAGTGACGTTTTCAAGTGTTAATTTATTTTTCAGTACAAGAAATTATTCTTTGGCTTTGATTAGGGTGCTATTAATTTGATCTATTGTGATCACCACTAATTACAATTCGGAGCCAAGGCCTACAGTGTTAAAGAACTGAAGGATTATCCTGGCTTTGACTGTTTTGATGTCCTTTGGTTGTGACATGTACTTTCACAGTATGGAGCTTCATGAGCCCAGCAAGGGGTACAGCATTGGGTAAAGGAGATGCAGAGAAGTTTCATTTCATCAGATTCTACACTCTCTGTTTCCTTTGTACCTAAGATTTGACATGAGCTTGCTCAAGCCACAGTGTCCTGTTAACACCCTAGTCAGTATTCTAATGCCAGATAAGTGACTACAGTGTTTAGCACTGTAGTCACTTATCTGGGCGTTTGAATTGTCATGAAATGTTTTTTTTTTTTATGATATCTAGTGATGGGACGAACAATTTGTGCGCCTGATAGTAAACTACATGCCTGTCCATAAGAGTTGCAGTGCCACAAAGAGCTTTAAATCACAAAGATCTGAGGGGCACTGCCAGTGTGCCTGTCACTGAGACATACGTTGACAAGTCCTAAGTGCTTGTAATTTCATCGGCACCCCTACCCTTGAAAACCAGAACACAGTAATGTTGACATTACTGATTGGTGGCAGAAATAGGTAAAGTGGCAGTGCTACCCTGGACAAACTTTTTCACAAGGATCTCTACTGCTACTATAAATTATGTGGTATAGCAGAGTGAGGTTTCAGAAAAGTTTTATTTGACAAGAGCACACTTGGATACAATGTCATCATCCACAGCCCAATTTCACCCACTGCTTGGAGCACACAGGCATATACATGGCCTCATTTTCCTGTGCTATCCAACAAGTTTCTGCACTAATTGTTTCTATAACAGTTTAGGTTACATTAAATAATAAGAATGTGTCAGACAATCACACCAATTACCTGGTCTCAAAGTAGATAATTCCTGTGTACCATGAATAGCAGATTTACAAAATTAACTCCAATTACTACTTCAAACACCATAGTCTAAAATTATGATCCTGTTTTCAGAGAGAGATTCCCATACTACGATATTGTGAAATCAGAGAGGGGAACACCAGAATTCATACATGATGAGAAGACCAGATTCAGCCCTGAAGAGTTAGTCGCTCAGTTATTGGCTAAAGCTAAAGAGTTTGCCGAAATTAATCATGGTAAGTAAGCTTGGTCTTTCATTTTAGTTTTGTTACATTTCATTTTCATGCAATGTTCCTATATTAAGTTCATCTGTGGCCACAGCAGTTATGAAATCAAATTGGGAAGTGAATACTAGATGTTTTTAATTTTCTGTTAACAATTATAACATGCTGTTAATGTGCAGAATCATAAAAGCTATTATTGTATTACACAAGTTTTCCATAGTTTGAACATTATTGACTATCATTGTGCACATTATGTTTACATTTTTATAGCGAATTTTTCTCATTGAATGATTGTGAAATGTACTGTTCTTAAACATATTTCTAATCTACTTGTTTATTTGTGGAATCTGTGATTGTAAATAGAAGTTGACAATAACAAAATGTGTTAACAGTGCTCAGCAAAACATTCACATACAAACATGTTAAAGGTAGTAAAGCTCCTTGTGAAAGAGTTTGTTCAGGGAAGTACTGCCACGTTACCTATTTCTGCCGCCAAGCTGTAATGTCAGCATTGCTGTGTTCCGGTTATGAAGGGCAAGGGTGCTGGTGAAATTACAGCCCCAGGGGACTTGCCAACGTATGTCTCAGGGTGACGGGCGCAGTGGCAGTGCCCCTCAGATCTTTGCGATTTAAAGGTCTGAGTGGCACTGCAACTGTTATGGACAGGCGTGTAGTTTACCATCAGGCGCACGACTTGTTCGTCCCGTCACTGGATATTATATAAAAAATGTTAAAGGTATATTGTCTATACCATTTCCCAAAAAAGGAAAATTACTGAATATCAGTACAATATAAATAACGTAGTACTAACACAGTAGGACAAGGTGAATGATCTTGGGGCTTGGCTCAACTCTAAACTCAATTTTTATTTCATTATGATCTTTTTGTTGCTGTTGTTGTACACAGAATGTTTGGTTTTGTTAATAAGGTAACAAAACCATACTAAAATTCGAACAGTATTAAACTTTGGTTTTTGCGTTATTATGCAGCAATTTAAGGTGGTTTCAGTTATATGGTCACTCTAATATAACTGTACAAAACAAAGACAGTTCATCTGGAAATTGAGCTCAAAGTTCGGAATGCGTAGGTAATTGGACACTTATAAGGTGTGAGTCAAATATTTTATGAAGCTCTTTCCAGTCCAGACATGTGATACTGGACTTTTCCTCACTTGCGTCCCTTAATTTATAGATAGTTTTATTTACTTCCCAAATTCTGTGCATGGCTGACGTAGGAATGCATATTTACTCCTATTGCATCTTCACAGTTTGTTTTCTGTAACTAAACAATAAATAAATATTTACTATCAAACAACAATAAATAATAATCAGAAATCTGAACGAGGCACAACGTGTTATGTTTAATTATTGCTTTATAAATATTTACACAATAACAAAGAATCGGAAAAAATTGCATAGGTGTTAGACAGACCTGGGGGTCTACTCTCGATCTCCGTCTGACACCCGTCCGAAACAATTACTGTCAAATAAGTAATATTCGACAAAATTAAAAGACAAGTATCAAGTACGAAGCTTCATTCGCATCACGCGTTTTTTCATTTCGTTAAGATTGCATTACTTATTATACAATCGTCAAATTAGGCCAAGAAATTTTTGTTGTCTTAAGAATTCCTTATCGGTAGTAGATTGACGACGTTGCTTATATCATATAAATAATTCCACAATTAATTATTTCTGTAGGTCAGCAAGTGAGTGAAGTGGTGATCACAGTACCAGGTTATTTCAACCAGGCAGAGCGTCGGGCTGTCAAAGAAGCTGCCAGCTTAGCCGGTCTCAATGTACTCCAGCTTATCAATGACTATACTGCTATTGCTATCAATTATGGCATATTCAGGAGGAAGGTATGCAGTGTTATAATGAAAATTTTCTATGTTAATGATTTTTAAAATGGGACATAAATAGTGAGTGAGTAATCTCTCCTCATAGCAGTAGAGTTTTCTTGTGAAAGAGTTCGTCTAAGGAAGTACTGCCGCCTTATCCATTTCTGCTGCCAAGCAGTAATGTGAGCGCTACTGCGTTCCGGTTTTGAAGGGTGCTGGTGAAATTACAGGCACATAGGACTTGTCACCTTATGTCGCAGAGTGACGAGCGCAGTGGCAGTCACCCTAAGATTTTTGTGATTTAAATCTCTGTGTGGCACTGCGACTACTATGGACAGGCGTATCGCTTACCAACAGGCGCACGCCTTGTTCGTCTCGTCTGTGATGTTGCCATTAAATTACAATCTTAGTGGTTGGTAGTTGGATTTGTTTTGAATAAAATTACAAAGTGATTCGCCTATATAATATGAAACTGTGAGGAAGAGAGTGTGTGTGTATAGCGCAACTCACACAACACGTCACTGTCTCGGTGTGACGGGCCCAGTGGCAGTGCCTTTAAGATCTATCCAATTGAAAGCTCTGAGTGGCACAACAACTGCTATGGATAGGCGTGTCGCGTACTACCAGGCGCACGATGTGTTCGTGCCATCACTTGGTATTATAAAAGAAAAATGCAATAAAGACGAATCATGATGGTGATAAATAAAGTTAAATAAACATTTAAACAAGACTACATACCAAGAACACTTGTATACAAATAAATAATTACGACTGAGTGGCTCCGAAAATATGGATGGATAGTGAGACTCGGCATCATAAACTAGACAGCTTTATTTATGTTGGGATCCAAAACTAATATAAACAAATAAATTGGAGGTTTGCCTAGCAATCGAAAAATCAAAACAGATTAAAACTTCACTGTTTAGAATTATTGTTACTATAAAAATAATTCCAAACAGTGAATTGAATTTTGTAATCTATAAATATCACATAATAATTATATACTACAGGAAATCAATGAGACTGCATGGCACGCTCTGTTCTTCGACATGGGCGCGGCGTCCACCAAGGCTGCGCTCGTCGAATACAAGACCGTTAAGATTAAGGACAAGGGTTACGTGGAGACTGTGCCACAGTTGCAGGTCCTGGGTGTTGGATTTGACAGGTATGACTCATTTCCGTCAATCAATAAATTTATTTATATGGTACATTATTTTATTATTTATTTTATTAATTATAAACATAACAGAATTTACATGGGTGTAATATACCTGTACAGTGTCAGAAAAACCAATTTTGGTTTCACCATACGCTGCCACTCGTCATTAGTGTAAATTAATCGAAAGTATCGGATTGGGTTCTTATTAACCGACTTCAAAAAGGAGGTTCTCAATTCGTATGATTTTTTTTGTATTTGTTACGCGATACTCCGACATTTGTAAACCGATTTCGATGATTCCTTTTTTGTAGGAAAGGGGGTTATTAGTGGTCCCACACATATTTCAAGAAAATAAATTAAGGGTTGCAAGTTAAGGGGTGGTTTCATCTACTTAATATTCTGTAATTTTTTACTTATAATTACAACGGTAACAAATGTTTAATTTTGGTATTAACGACAGCACACGGATGTTGTTCCGTTACACTGGAGGCGATATTCGAACAGAAATCTATAGTTTGATGTGCTTTTGACTGTACATTATAACAAAAATACTATTTCTTTTTGTAACCTGGGTGAGAGATTAGTTAAAAATAGTAATTTTTTTATAATACTCTCACATTACCTATTATTCTGTGTGAAATGGGCGGGTATGTCCTCAATAGTCATCAGAGTCCTATTTGACATGTTTGTTTTGTTATTATTTATATTTTCTTTATTGTATTGCATGTCAGTCATTTTAACTTTGATTTAAGGATCCTAATAATATGCTGTCCAAATAACTAAACTGTCGTAACGCAAACGAGTGAAAATCGTAATCTTTTAATTTACAATGTTAAAGTTTTCCTCATTTTTTTCATCGATTTCGGTTTCAACATCACGCCAGCTACGAGCCATTATTATGTGTATAAACGGTACGATTATTCAGTAAAACAGCATACGTAGTAAGCGTCAAAAACGTATAACAATTTGTGTATGGAAAGTTGATTATTCTAATAATTAAAAAAAAAAAACATTTTGTTGCTGTTGATATTATGCTTTGTTGTCGCCTTTTTGTTTGGTTGTTGTTGGTTTTTTTATTTGTTGTACACTTTTTTAGTAGCTTAATAACATAACAATTGAATCCTTTTTGCGTCTGACCGAATGGTTACCATACAGGTCTGCAAATGCAGAGGTTTCGAGTTGCATTCTAGGGATCTACTTCCGTTCTCAATCCGACTTCCGTCCGAAACAATTACTGTCAAATACCTACGATTAAATTAAAAGCATGAGGCGAATGAAACTTCATAATTGACATTGTCCTTTGATGTAGTCGGGTAGTACTTATTTAGGTTTGGCAGACCTGGGCCTGGAGAAATATTTGTATGCCTTACATTTATTCCTCTCTTGAGTTTGGGTGTAATTTGTGGTTGTCTGTGTCCGTGGCACTCGCGATACAGAGTTTCGCTAGTGCGGGGCTATGAGAAAAGAAACTAAAAAAATTGTTTATTGTTTGTTCTTAAATTAATATCTCTAAGTCGATTCTCGCTTCGTTACAAATTATCTCGATAGAAATGAACTATATATACTTCAAACATTAATAAACACACTGAAGCAAAACAACCAAGAAGAGAGAAAGAGAAGAAAGAGCATTTTCGTCAAAATGGATGAAATGAAACAATGAGGCAGGTCATTTACGTTTTGGATAACACACTAAGGGAACCCTGGACGGCAGCCAATTACATGAACGGTCATTTTTTCCATATCTATAGTCGTCAGACAACGGTTGTTTTGATGTAGGTCTTTTTACACATCAGCGGATGCAGAAACGTAAACTGAATTTATCAATTAAAAAAAAATCGTGTAAAATGTACCCTTTATTAAATGAATTAACCCGTCACGCATTCACGTATCGTTAGAGACACAAGTTTCCATAATGATATCGTAGCGTCCTAAAGCGACACGTATCTCGTATATGAATCTAACGCGCAGCTCTGTTTTAATTCACCATTTAAAAGAATTTAAAAAATCTTACATTTTTTTTTACAAAAATCATTAGAAACACATGTGTAGGACGCGCGTGGTTTAAATGTATCCTTTGAATCTAAACGAAAAAGCTTTTTTAATGAATTTGATATTTATAATCATTTTGTATAAAATCAATCAATCTGCCTTAATCTGGAATTTTATCAAAGGTAAGAACAACGGCTGAGCAGCTATTTCGGATTGCAGTCTGTTTCTGGATGGTTTGTAAATTATTCCAGCGTGCCGTAACTCCCACCCCTTTTGTTAATGTTCCTACGCTAGTATTCGCAATTAATATCAGCATCGATCAATGCTTAGGCTTCATGCAATCAATCCATGCCGATTATCCGCGTATGTTGTGCTGATATTCGCAACAATCCTGGTTCAGATCTTAAGTATATAAGCTAAAGAGTGTATTCATACTAAAAGTGCTCGTGTTTTTATGCTAACAGTTGATTCCTAAGTTACATTTTTATATTAATTTAATTTTTTTTTATTAATTTACATTTTTATATTATTCGTGTTTTTTTACTTGACGATAATAAAATAAATATTAATTTTATCGATATTAGTTAATAATAGGTTTTTAAATTATGACCACCACTGCTTGATCCTTTTAATTAATTAACACGAATATCGAAAACAAAAAATCCTTTGATTAGACAGGACCGGAGATCAACCAACCCAATCAACCCGCCCTTGTTTTAACCGAGTTTTTATTCAAAGCGTCGGTTTAAAATCGTCAATTTGGTATTATTCCATACTTAATACAAATTTTGATGAAAAAAGAACTTTTTTAGACGAAAAAGAGGCAATTTCACGTAATACATACGATTGCAACAATCATTGTAATCGTGTGCATTCGCATATTACAATTCGATTTTTTTTTAATGAAAACCGATTCTATTTCATATGATCTAACAATTTTTTGTATCGCTTTATTGAAATGCGATTTTCAAGCGAATCGATTCAATAGTAAGGCATATCGAATCGTCTAGATCAGAAAGCGATAAACTTTTGTAATAATATCATTCAATTTCAAGAAAACTCAATTTGCTTCGCGTATTTAGTTGTAAATAGTTTTTGCCCTCGAAGTTAGGCGTTAATGGGTTTTAATCAGACTTAATCCCGGCGTTAACAAAGCGCTAAAACCCGGACGACTTGTGCCATTTTTGTAGCAGTAGAGCTCCGTGGGAAAAAGTTTGTCCAAAAAAGTACTGCTTCATTACCTGTTCCAGCCGCCAAACAGTAATGTGAGCATTACTGCGCGTTTATAAAGGGTAAGCGCGCTGATGAAATTACAGGCACATGGGGCTTGTGGTTGGGCAGAGTGCCCCTCAAATCTTTTCAACGTTCAGAGTCATATTGCGTGCGGCGTGGGCCAGTTCATAGCAGTTGTAAGCGACACATCTTACCAAAGGCACACGACTTGTTCATTACGTCACTTGGTATAAAAAAAAACAAAAATACCAGGTTTATGCCATACGGTATAGACTTAGGTTCAAGTCCTATCAGATAGAAGGAATTTTTGGTAATAAAGCATCATAACATTCATTACAATCAACCTTATGTTTAATTTTGTTAATCATGCTTTTTTGAAATGTAACTATATCTGAAACTCTCTCCCAGTTACGATTAGACAAGCGCAATCGTTTAACATATTTAAAAACCAAGTAAAGTCATTCTACCTTTCACAGTAGCAATATAAGCATTGACTTCCAAATAAATGGACAACGGGTCTAATACAAAAACCACGAAAAAAATGTCCCAAGTCAACCTATTTAAACGTAGTGACATGTAAAGGAAATGAAAAAGCTAAAACGTTGAATTTCAATTGTAATGTCATCGCAGTACTGTCTAATTTTGCTTGCTTCGCTGTCAGTCGAACAAACGAAGACTAAAGCGTGAATGACGATCTGTATACGATTTTAACGCCCTATAAGTTCGGACACTTTTTAGCGCGGACCCGACGTCCATATAATTGTAAGTCAATGAATATAAGTATGTATATTTATAAGTATGTGTTGTTTAATAATTTCTATATGTATGTGTAAATGTTTATATCTATCACCCCCGCCTTTATTCAGTTTAGTCTCTCTCCATCCTAAGGTTGTCTGGAAGAAATCGCTGTAAGCGATAAGACCGCCAATTGTTACCCTGCTAATGTGTTTAACTTTTGCCCTGTAATCTGTCTATGTATGTGGTGCTGACAATAAAGATTTTTCTATCTATCTATCTATCTATCTATCTATCTATCTATCTATCTATCTATCTATCTATAATGAAATAAGTATAAAATTTTCCTGCACTAATTTATTACTACTATATCATCAAATTTGGAATGCGACATGTTTATTTATATTAATGTTGATAGGTAAACAATGTACAATGTAAATAAGTAAACAAAACCAATTGTATACAAACAACGAAACATTCCACAGGACTTTGGGCGGACACGAAATGACGTTACGTCTTCGCGAACATCTGATCAAGGCGTGGGAAGCTCAAGGCGGAGGTGACGTCAGAGCTTCGCCGAGGGCCATGGAGAAGTTGCTCAAGGAAGCCGAGCGTTTGAAGGTGGTTCTTTCAGCTAACACCGAGTTCTACGCTCAGATCGAAAGTCTGCTCGACGATAAAGACTTCAAGGTTCAGGTGAGTACCAGCCGTGTAGATCCGGCCTTACCCTCATTGTCATAACTAACGCATTTGGATTTTGGTAAAATATAAAGATATCCATAATATTAACCTTAGAAAGGCAATGAGTCTAGATTCCACACAATTATGATTCAAAGTGAAATGATAAAAGACTAAAGAGAGGAAAATATTAATTAATATTAAAAGTAATATTTGACGTGTTAGGACAATTGCTAAAAGAACATGTTACTATTTTTCCAGGCACATCAATAGTAGTCTGCTGAACTTCTGATGATATGTTTAAATGTATATCTATTACTGTATTTTCGTTATTGCTCTTCTCACTAGCACTCATTTTCGCGCCCAAAATACGAAAAGTCGAAAATAAACAAAAGAATATACCAATACACTTTAGATTAAATGTTACCTTTTTTTCTTTTTTTTTAAGTAAGCGGTACAGGTAGGTATTTTTAATTCTTGCTGTTATGAACACTGGGCAGTTGGCCGTATGCGTTTTTCGTTTGCCTCTTTACATAGTTCATTATTATTGTGCAGATTTAAAAGTATGGAGAAGAGGACAGTAATGGGTTTTCATACTTACTTTGCAGGCCTTGGCCGGAAAGACACACAACAAACTTTCCGTGTTCGTTTTTTGAAAGTAATGCAAACATTTCCGTGCTTGTTTGAGAAACAGTAGGTTGTACAACAAGTGCATAAAACGCGTCATCTTACCCGAGACGAATATATCCACTCGAGCCGCAGGCAAGGGTGGGTACTTAAGTCGAGGGTAAAATTAGTTTTATGAACGAGTTATACACTCTGCTTTTCACTTTCAATTTCGAGGAAATTAAACAGCAATATTACAAATAATCGATAACACAATTATTGCCTAGAAAAAATAGGAACTTTCTGCCAATAAACTACTTTTTTTCTACATGTCACTCAGGTCGGACTACATAATGCTCAGTTATATTTTACAAGCTTTTGTTTTTCATGCATTTTTATTTCTTATTAGAATTACTATTGCCTACTTTTTGTAATATACCAACTTTTTGTAATATACCACGGATTAAAAAAACAAAAGTAAAACTTTATTTTATAAAGTTACAGCGTGCGTGGCTATTGGCGCAGGCGTCATTGCCTCGGTCTTAAACGGCGATTTTATTTTATGTACTAGAGCAGCAAATCCTATTTTATGCAGCCTACACCGAGCATAAATCGACCCCTCCCACGTAAAGTATCGTATGTCAAAATTGCCAAGTTTACAGGGGAGCCTTTTAAAGTTCTGAATTCACTGAAATAAGCATAACACGTGACTTTAGATTTCTCACTTTTATTCGGCAAATCTCGTAACACACGTTGAGTATCATAAAATCCTAGATATCGGTTAGATGATCTATTAGATGACCACTCTATGTGAGTAACAAGCTTTGCCAAATGAAACGGAGAACTTTAAAACACTCCCCTGTAAACTTGGCAATTTCGACATACGATACTTTACGTAGGAAGCGTCGAAACATGAACTTAGAGAAGTGAAAATATTATTTTCTCAAACATGCGTGCGTATTTAATACAAGCACTGCAACTCGCACTCGTCCACGAGTCCTTCACTTGCCGGCCCCCAAAGCGCTTTGTAATGCAGCGAGTCGGCCGCAGGTGACCCGCGCGGAGCTGGAGGCGCTGTGCGCGGACCTGTGG